TTATTCAATAACTGCAGACAAACTGGGCACTGTGGACGTAACACTTTGCGTCCACTTTTTACGTCCAAAATGGCTGTCAAGAGCGCTTTCAATAGTACAGGCGTAAACAAATCGGTGTTTCGATGGTGCCCCTTCACTGGACAAACAAGCTGGAACAAAGCAAGAGTGGGTGCTGTGAACATTCCGCAGTAACATTTAGGGACTTTTTTGTGTTACTGATGCAAATGTAACACATTGGTTCATCTGGAGTGAGCCAATTATGATCTGATCATGCTATGGGCGAAAAACAGCGTATCGTTAAAGTAAAAAAACTAACTAAAGAAGAGGTTGACTACCCTAAATGGGAGCAGATGGATATGTTACAGTAACTGAGGGTGAATTGTATGTTTTATAGTCTTAATTTGAAGTCAAAAGTACTTCAGTAATGTTGGTATACTTACCGGATGCAGCACAAAAAACCTTTTAATCCTAAAAAGTCTATAGAGTGCTTTAGAAAAGTTTTTATCAGACAAAGAAGTAAGGCTTTTGGAGACTACACAACTGCCGTCATTCAGAACGTTGCTTTTACGTTGATAAGAGAAAATAACCTTTCATTTTGTTTACAATGTTTATGTTCTTTTCCCCACTTTAGCATTTCTAACTAACAAAGGCTACCGTCAGTAACACAGTACGCTGTCAGGACTCAAATCCTGCAGTGCTCAGATGAAACTCGTCAAGATACAATGCTGAGTTAATAGCAGTATAGGGATGACATCATTCAACCAATTACCATGACCTACTAACTACTGCACATGAAAATACAAATCCCAAATCCTGGATGAAGTGCCTTTTAAAATGATATTGTTTCAGTTGAAGGGAAAAAAAAGGGTTGTGCACTTACAAGGTGTGATTTTTCCCTCAGACACCAGCCTTCCTTTGCACTGGAACATATTCAAATCCCACACACGCGTCACTCTGTTACATTCACACAGGCTGACGAGAGAGAGAAACCATTAGAAGTGTGCATCACAAACCCCTATTACCCTAAATACAAGCTGCCAAGTCCCTCACTATTATGGAATGATGTGCAGCACCAGTAATGTACTGAATAAAGACTGGATTATAATGGTACATGTGTAGTTAAATAATTTGTAGCATTAGTTCATATTAGCAGACATTATGCATCGGAAGAATCACTTATGTTCATTATCGGGACGGCTATTCCTCTTGACCCCGTGATGATCCTGAAAGAATGTCTGGAAATTTGCACAAGGAAACAAATGCTAATGTTGCTGTAATCATACATTGTGCTGAGAAGCAGCAAGAGGGGTTGTTATGTAGCATGAAAGGCGTCTCACTACGTGTACTGACTTTACAAAGAAGAGAGGAGCTGTATGGAATACACATGGAGGAGCCTGCTCAGGTGGCTCAGGTATCTGATTTAGAAGTCTCCTGTCCAACCCTTCCTTGGGGATCCATCTATACTTGGTCCAAGTAAGTACCACCGGGACGAGATCCAGGGAAGTCTCTCAGCTTGAACTGCTGCCTCCGCTACCCAGTGGATATATTAGAAGATTATTGATGTAAGCAATGGATTTATGAAATATGATGATGAAAATAGTGTGTATCGACATTGTATATTTTACTGTATGTTTGAGAAATGCTATTCAGGTATGCATATGCTATTTGAGTATGCATGCTAGAATCATTTGTTTTAACAACATACCTGAAATGGTAAGTACCAACGTGTAATCAAAACGTTTAATTATATAAGGTTAAGATCTTTTTATTGTCTTCCTACGAAGATTTGTCCAATACATTAAGCCCGTCCTACAATGCCACTAGCACAACCTGTCAGCAGATGTGGTCAGGGCGACCAGGGCTGGGGGAATATACCTATGGTGCTTGTTTGGGTGATGGGGAAACCAGACTACCTATCCAAGGAAAAAACATTCAAATTCCACACAGAAAGGGCCCTTCTTGCTGTGAGTGCAACCCACACAGCCACCGTGCCGAGCATGATGACTAAAATTAAAAGTAGATGTCAAGAGATAACTCTTTTAGCCTAGTACTACTATTACTCCAACTACTTTTGTCAGTCTCTCTGGTTCAAACGCTTTTACAAAAACAGTGACGCAATAATGAAAATCAAAATACAATAGCTATTCCTCAAACTGAAACGGTTATGAAAGTCATCCAGTTGGCATGTGAATCATTGAGGGCCGTTTCTCTTTCCGCCACCATCCAACTTTCTAACACTTTGTTCCCCAAAAAAGGCAACCTTGAGAGACAAATGTGTTTTGGTGATGAGACTTTTCAAAATGATTCTCCATCTATCACACACACTGATGGGGAAGGCGTTCGCGTGCCAGCTTCGCCGCTGATGGAAGAATTACTTAGTTATGTGTTTTGAGGGAAAACAAAAATGAGAAACTGCATATAGGAGCAAGAATAGAAGAGGGGGGGATTGGGTGACAGCTTGTGAGGTCGAGCATTCTCAGGACTGCGGGACACGTACGTTGTCATGACGAGATGTGTGATTATGGGTTGTCGGCAGGGGAATCGTGGTAGACCATACATCATTCCAGCACACTGACACAAATTGAAACATGTTTGGCTCGCAGTGAGACAGGCCCGTTGATGTATATTGGATCGATAACCTTCATAAACACATAGTCAGCTCGGGAGCTACGGCGACAGCCAGACCATCAGCACCATCTGGCCTCTGTCCTCCCGCCAGACCCGGATCATCTGGTGTGATCGCCCTGATAACCCACAAATGTAAGAAATAACGCAGCACATTCAACTGATATTTCTCTACTGTGGAAACGTTGGAGTATTGTGAATGGGTCAGCTGCATGCTCAAGAAAGTATTATTTATGCATAAGGTTTGAAAATCTCAGCGAGACCATCCTGGGTAGCCAAATGCTTTTTTTTGTATTATCCTCTTTTATGTTGAATAAAAAGTATTAGCATGTGGTCCTAATTAGGGCTGCACAATATTAGAAATTAGAGTGATATTCGAAATGAGTGTTTCGTATTGCGATAACAATATCATTGCAATATTTTGGTCTGTTGCCTAAAATTGCAATCTGTATTGAAACGCAAGAGACAAATAACAAAAAATAAGCACAACATTAATGACCTTCAAATGCATATATGTATGTACTTTTTTATTTATTTATTTTTTTGTTATTGTTGAATGTTGATGTGTCTCTGCCTGTTTTGTTGTCTTTATATATATATTTTTTCCTTTATTATATTATTTTATATATATATATATATATATATATATATATATATCCAACAAATAACTGCAGGGTGCAAGATGCTGGCAGGGAAGGCCTACATGGAACGCCATAACCAAGTGGCTGGCATAGTGTACAGAAACATCTGTGCAGAGTATGGGCTGGAAACTCAAAGGTCTAAGTGGGAAACTCCTCCAAAGGTGGTGGAGAATGAGCGTGCGAAGATCCTGTGGGACTTCCAGATACAGACCGACCGAATGGTAATGGCGAACCAACCTGACATGTGGTGGTAGACAAAGGGCAGAGGACAGCCGTGGTGGTGGACGTGGCAATTCCAAGCGATGGTAACATCCGGAAAAAAGAACATGAAAAGCTTGAGAAATACCAAGGTCTCAGAGAGGAGCTGGAGAGGGCCTGGAGGGTAAAGGTGACAGCAGTGCCCGTGGTGATCGGTGCACTCGGGGCAGTGACCCCAAAGCTGGAGGAGTGGTTACAGCGGATCCCCGGAACAACCTCGGACATCTCGGTCCAGAAATGTGCAGTGCTAGGAACAGCAAAGATACTGCGCAGAACCCTCAAGCTCCCAGGCCTCTGGTAGAGGACCCGAGCTTAGAGAGGGATAACCGCCCGCGGAGGGCCAAAGGTGAGTGGACAATTTTTTATTTTATACATATATAAATATATATATATCTATATCACAATATCACAAGAACGATTTTTGTTTTATATATCGTGCAGCTCTAGTCTCTATCTACTACTGGTTACTCCAGTCTCTCCTTTGTCCAAGGTGTGAGAAGACTATTGTAAATCTGGCTCTGCACCATAGTGTAATTGAATTAAACATTGCATGAATATATTTGATGTAGCCTTTTCTCTTGCATCAAATATGCAGGACATTTTCCTGACAATACAGTTGTTTTACAAAGTGAAAGAAACAATGTCTGTGTGAAAGCTCATGCCAACATTGTATTTACTTTGAAACTAGTAAAATAAAACACCTGCACTTGCCGCTTCATATCCTAGATAAAGATATAAAACAGAAAAAAGTGTAGTTGGATTTTTTTCTGTGGAAAATCCAAAAGAAAAAGCTTAAATTGAGAATGTCATTATGTCAGAGCTCTCACTTATTTCGTGATTGGAACATTTCAGATGCCACAGTGCTGATCTTTTAACCATGCTCATGACAATTTGGAACTGAACTATTTCTTTACGGCTCCTTCACAGCCAGCGATCATTAGGAATGCAAGCTACGACACAAGAACAGCGCTTCATCAGAATAGCATGATGGTGATTACAGAGCATAAAAGTTGGCGAGCCAGCCAGTAGAACAAAGGACTGCAGGGAATCCGTTCAAAGTGAGTGAAAATTGAAAGGATCGTGGCGACAGGTGGAGATCTAACTCGAGAGGTGTTAATTGGACTTTTCAACGAGGAACCAAGATTGTTCAAAGACTGTTGTTCAGCAAGAATCCATGACAGCAGAGGGAAGCAGCTATGACGAAAGTTCAGAACAACCCACTATTTTAATTTTCACCAAGAAATGATTTTACGCGGGTGTTGAAATAACTACTCAATGTGGAACTGATGAAAAACATGTTCCATGTTTGATAGCACGCGATGAAGCATGCTATCAAAGGAAAACCTGCCATATTGAGCCACCACATCTGTTTCATACTTTTTGATCAGTTGCCAGTTTGACATCGCACAAAATACTGTGAAAACACTTATTTTCGGTCAAGCCTAAATAACTTTGAAGTAGAACACTGTTACTTACAATCTGTTGTTGGGGATGATTTTCTGACCATCCTTGTACCATGTGACCACAGGTTGTGGATACGAAGCTAGTGGAGGAAGGCTGAGCACCGTCGCCCTGCCTTGGGTCACAGTCTTTCTCTGGTCCTCACCCGAGTAGTTCCCCACAACTAAAGAGAGAATTAGGAATAAAATAGTGAGTCCCGAAATAAAGTAAAATAATAGTTTCCTAAAGCTGGGGACAGACTACACAACTTTTGCAATACTGTCAGTTTGTTGTGGAGGAGTCATACACAAATGACACATGAAAACACATGTGTCACATGTTTACAAAAAACTGCTACAGAAGCAAGTTTTCACATATAATTGATTAATGTATCTAGTAAACAAAGAATGGCCAAATATCTGTTGAAACAAATCTATAATAAAACTGTTCGAGGGATGGGACATGGTGTTTTCTGACTTGTGTCATCTGACCAAAACTCAACACACCTTGTTGATGGTAGAGCTCTGATCTCCTGGGGTTCACTATAATGGAAGGTTGAGAGAGGATGTGAAGAGGATGGACATTTGCTTGTGTGGATTTTATCACTTTTTCTCAGTTATTTGAAGCACACATCCTTACAGAGAGTGAGGATGGTGGAACGTGAGTGCAATGCGACTTGCTTTAGATAGTAAAACGAAAGGGGAATATCTTCTCTCATTTAAGTAGTAGGAGCCCTACAGCCAATACACCCAACCATTTTTATTCAAGCAGAACCTCCTGAGATTAGAGAACATGTAATAACACTTATCATGTTTTACTTTATCTGGGGTGTTTTAGATGAGTGGGATACAGCATGACAAAAACAAGCTCTCATCCAAGGAAGCTGGACTTTTTGTTAAATAAATTAGGTCTTAGGTTTTCAGGAACAAACTAAGCCAAGTGACCCGGATCGTCACCACAGGGGTGTGAAGACGCTCGGTCCAGCTGGTGGCGCCAATACTAACTTCAGCGACTACCTCTGGATCCAAGATAAGACCCCAAACCCTCTCCTCCAAAAGATATCCTAGGCAACTGCTAACTTGGTGATACAAAAATGTGGTATGTTTTTTAATTTTGATTATGTCATCTAGTATCTCTGTAAACCATAAAGGTGATTTGACCCCAAAGAGTAACAAAACTAGCATAATTGTAGTGTACTCACAGGCCACGTGCACTTGTGTCTTCCAGTGTATGGCCGCCCCCATCCTGTTCCTCACCAAACACTGGTATAAGCCTGCATCAGAACGCTGCATCTGTTCTATCAACAACCTGCGCAAAAATACAAATAAACACAGTGTAAAGAATGTATTCTATATAGTGATGGTCATATGAAAATCATAACATTTCATATGCTCTGTAAAGTTTGAGATAAATTGCAAATAGATTGATAATGGGAACATTTTTTATAATAAATATTGCATGAAACTCAGCATCGCACTCCCAAAAGTCAATTACAATCAAACTTTACATACTATCATGAAAATAGTACAGAACAGGGATATAAAGGCACACGACAATCAATTTACAGAGTAAACAATATATCATGACATTGACTTCACTGACGAGAGAGAGCAGAGAGCATCACTGACAAAAGGATGAAATAGATTTTAAGTTTATGTTTCAAGGAAGTTTCAGTAACACTAATGCTGCGTTCAGACCAAACGCGTTTTCTGCGGCAAAATCGCGTCTGACGCGCGTCTTGGGATGCTTGTGACAAATTGTGGCAGACGCTGTCACAGAGTATCTTGGAGGCGCGTCTCACGCGTCCAGGACACTAGAGGGCAGCGTTCTGGAAGCGCGTCAAGGAAGAGCTTTTGAGGCAGGCCTGCTCTGTTGCCAACACAACTCGGAGAGGGAAGGACACGGGAGCCAGGATTAAGGTAAAAAGTGTAAAATACGCTTTAATTAGGACATAAAAGTTAATTCTAATAACATTTAGAGGCGAGAAATACCCCCCTCTATTGTCATATCGGAGGTCTGTTTGGTGATCAAATAGAACATTGTCGGACTTTTCTCCAGTGCAGAGAGCGGGGGTCGGCCAGTGCTCAAGCCGAGAAAGAGCGTCTCAACGCGGGGACACATCAGTGGAGCTCTCACAATCTTAATTCTGAAAATCCGAGGCTTTTGTTACGGACTTTCTCTGTTATAACAATTGTATTGGCAGTAATCATTCGTTTTTACAAAGCCATATTGTATGTAAACAATGCACACATATGCGATGAATGATTTATGATTGATTTATTTGCTATGGCCCTCGTTTGTGCATCACTAACATAAATGTAATAACGTGTGTTTTCTGATGAGAAAGGAATATCCATGGCTCTATAATAATAATAAGTACATCCATGGATCTGTATTATAACGAACATCAGTAAAAAGGACACAGGAAAGGCCTAGAACTGCTCTTTTTGAAGTCTTGACTGTTACTGATCAGATTAGAGTTGAATGTATTCAATTAGAACTTTAAGTACTGCTGACAAATACAGTATGTACCTGTGTAAATAATACCTTATTTTTCATCACTCTTTACACTTCAGACACAAAAAACAAATAATAACACCAACAAGTTTTATTTTTTATTTTTTATTTCCAGGCACTCTATGAAGGTGTCAGAGGCAGACGCCCAGGACTCTGCTGTTGCTCCTCGTCTTCAGAGATGCAGATCCCACTGTTCTAACTATTCATGACTGATGATTAAATAAAACATGAAAATATGTTTGTTGTAGTTCATATTGTTAATCCGCAGTGAAGCAGGAGGTGATGGAGGTGAAGCTGGAGAAATGATGTCGTGTGATTTTGTTGCTGTCAGAGAAAGTCTGAGTTCCATTTCACCAAAAGTCTCTGAAAAAGAACACAAACATCAAGTTAAAACATGGACACCTCAAAATAAAATACATAAATCCTTCCTGTATTTAATATTAGAGGTACACAGCAGGAGAAACAGACACTGAGGAGAAACAGACAGAGGAGTAACAGAAGAATAATATACTGGAAATATACACACAAATAAAACTTAGTGTGGCTAACCACTTTAAAGCTTTTGGAAGTGAGACTGTCATCTGCAAATGTCCTTTATTAATAACAAAATAAGCATCTCTATAATGTGCTCTTATTTCATCATTATATTTATCAGACTATTGTATGAAAAGTGATTCATAATAAGCTATATATATATACAGTAAATGTTAATAACTATACAGTATTCCCAGTCTTAGTATGGGATTATAAATTATATACACAATCTATTTTATATGAATACAGATAACAGTGTTATTTGGCATACTACATGTTAGAATACTACATGTTAGAATACTACATGTTAGAATACTACATGTTAGAATACTACAGCTGCTGTCTCCATGGACTGTTTCCTCTGTGTAGCTTTAATATGTAATCTGTGGGTTTGTTTCTCCCTGTGACATTACAGATTTTGCGCAGGGAAGTATTAGCGATTGTGAAAAGTTTAAATAACTTACCAGAGACACCAACCTCCTCACTGACCTCCTCCATGTCACGGTGGGTATAGTCTGCAGGGCTCATGGGCTAACAGCACAGCTTGTCCTCCATAGCTGTTGTGTTGTCGTCCCCCTCGGTCCTGCCGTGAAATGAGTTACCACGTCACTGTTGGAGGAGGCTCCTGATTGGTAGACGCTCGCGTCTTCTCCCGAAAAGTTCAACATTGTTCAACTCAAGCGTCGGCCACACGCTTCACGCGCTTCACGCGCATCAAGACGCTCAAAATCTCAAAACGCGCCGCGCCAAACGCGCCAAACGCTCGAAGACGCGCTGCTCGGGAGGCGCGTGACGCGCCGCGTGATCTCTTGACGCTCCTAGACGCGCGTCCCCCATGTTATGTCAATGTAAACCCGACGCTTTGGACGCTCAAGACGCGTTTGGTCTGAACGCACCATAACTTGAATTGTTCATCTTATTAACAGAGTGAGACACAACAACAGTCTGGTTAAGACAGATCTCCACAAAGCAAGAGACACAATATTTTAGACGTACTGACAGCAAGTTACTGAGTACTGATTAAACCCCTTTTGCTCAAAGAAGAGATGTTGCCGCTAGAAATCAGAGTATGCAGAGTAGGCAAACCTATGCAGTGTTGTGCGATAAAAAGCCAGGGTGTAAATCGAGCCAGTTGGAGATGTCGGTTGTAGATGCATCTACAGTAGGTCCCATTTCGTTTTGTCGTCTTCATTCACGCTTTTCATGAATCACGCAGCTGCGTGAAACATATTACATCCTATTGCCACTAGGTGGCAGGTTAAGTCCGCTTTAGCTCTGCCAGCGACTTAAACGCTCAGGTATAAGACTGCGTGCAAACCTGTTTTGCCTTGTGACGCACACATGTGGCGCAGAACTAAAAAAGGTCTTGTTATGACTCTCAAATCATTAATGACAAAACAAAGACTAAAACGAGGATTTATATCGGGACGCCTTTGAACAATTGAGACAGCTGATAAAAGTTCACGTGTGATGCAGAATTTTCTAGTTTGAGTCCGTTCTTCACAGTATCTCTGCTCGTGTGAATCGGTGGTCTAGAGGTCTAAGCTGTGCGCTTACAATGTAGGAACCCAGGTTCAATCCCCGGCCATGTCTTTTTGTATTTATTGCATGTTATCACATTCTATGACAGATTGCTCTAAAAACGGTAAAAGATGAAGGTCAAGACGTTTTTTTGCAGATTATAGCTTAATTGTAAAAATAATCATTTAAGACCACATGTACCCAATTAAAATAATGTTAGTCTCTTTTTGATGTGGAACTTTTACATGTTTGTCTAAAAAATAGGGAATAAATAAAATTGAAAGGTGATATCCTCTTGAGCAAATACGTTCCAACATCGATTCTTCCCACTCCTATTTTGGACATCTTTATTTTGCATAAACTATGTATAATTACATTGCTTTTACTTTAGCGTCCGCCAAAGCTATTTTCTCACGGACATCTCTGATGTTCATATATTACAGCATTTTCCCGCAGCATAAAACAAACATATAGAAAGACAGAATGCTGATGCGCATGCGCAGGGCTTGGTAACGACACACACACACGAGCGTACGCGCACACACACACGCACACACATGCGCGCGCGCTACTGGGGGAAGCAAAAGCATGGCAGAGAGCCCAAGAGCCGCCGCGGTGGAGGAGGACCATGATAAGGACTCTCAAAGTGTTGTACCGTGGCCATACCTCCAAAAGTACGTCACTCTAGTCGAGATGAGCGAAAAGAAATATGTTTTCAGATGCCTACTCTTTGTTGTTTTTGGTGTTTTGGGCTATTGTTCAATAAATATCTAAAAAAATTTAACCTTTATCTGACTGACAGTTTATCTCAAATAAGAAGATACGCTTTATTAATCTCACACAGGAGAAATTTACATGTCACATTTGGCATGGATAAAACACTCAAGAATTGTGCAAAAAATAAGAAATGAGAAAACATGTTAATGCAGGAAAATATAAAATTGCATGAACTGCAGTTTGTTTAATTGAAAATAGCTTCTATATAGCAAGCTACTTTTGACAGAATTTTGTAACTTAGCTTGCTACATTTGTATGGGTGGTAGCTTCTGTGTAGTGAAGCTGAATTTATTGTAGAGTAGCTTGTAGCTTAGCTCACTACACAAATCAAGTAGCTTGCCCATCACTGCAATACACTGCATGAAAAGTATGATTTTTGTCTCTTTTCGGCCCTGTTTATTACTGTGAAACTTCTGGGATTCGGCTGTTGACGGTAGTTTGTTGTCCCCTCCTCCCTCCTCCACAGGAGGCTTTAACATGTAAATGGCAATGCTGTGAGCTATACAAATGCTAATCAGAGTTGAGGGGGTGCACAATGCTCAACTTTGCTCAATGCTGTACACTGAATTAACTCATCTGGAATTATGTACATACCCAAAAGAAAAAGTATGAACCAACTGAAAATATGTGTTATATTCTCGGTTCAAAGTAGCACCATATATATATATATATATATATATATATGTGTGTGTGTGTGTATGGCATGTTAGTATTAGATAGCAATATGGCCTACATGCAGGACTGTACAAGGACTCTACAAGGACTCCATGTTATGACTATGATGTGACTGTCTCTTTGTGACACGTATGTCTTTCGATGTGTGACGTGACAATGACTATATAAACTGTGTACTGCCTTTATTCTGTCTGGGAGAAAGAAACAGAGTAAACCAGTGGAACTTGAGAGAAACATAAATAAACTTCCAGAGTTTGGCACACCACGATCCGTCTCTGTCTGCT